GTTAAAAAAAACACACCAGAGCAAGATAATCTAAAAAATTATGAATATACATATACCTACCAAGATAGCGTCAAAACAAATACAGCAGAAAAGATGAAACTCAGAGAAGACACTGAAAATATGTATTAAAATTTCTACATCAATTGTGGCTTTTCTAAACAACAGAATAAACAGTCAAGAATAATCTAAGATACAGATTCAAATATAGCTTGAATTATAGGCTGAGCTAATAGAAACAAAGACAGCATTCATTCTCAACAGTTCAGGAGAGTCTACCTAATGCAATAAAATAGAAACCTGAATTAATTGTATGAATATGAAGAAGAATGTACAATTATTTCAGATAACATTATTGTACATTTAGATATCCAAGCGATTCTCTTACAACAAAGTATTAGAACTAATAAGAGAATTTACGTAGCTCACTGAATAAAAGATAAATAAGTAAAAAACGAGTATCTTTTTTCCATGCCCAAAATCTGAACAGAATCTGAATGTGTGGCGATGCACACATAACGTTCTTGAATAGAATAACAATATTACAGATGCCAACATTTAAAAAAATGAAATGAAAATCCAGTCCAATTCCACTCAGAAGTATGATTTTAAGGTTTAGATGGCAAAATAAATATTCAAAAACAGCAAAAAAAAAAGGGGGGGATAAAAAGGAAAAACATAGTAATAGAAGGGTTTGCTTAGCAGATAGTAATACCCTGTGAAAGCACTAGAGTCAAGTGTAACAGGGTGGCAGCCACAGGGGCGAGCAGAACACAGTTTGGAATAGGTACAGGTATGTTGGGAATTTAATATATAGTATAGCTGGCATTTCAGTTCAGTGGGAAAAGGATGCTTTGTTCAATGAGTGTGCTTGAATAACTCACTCTCACTCTCAATCCAGAAGAAAGCAAAACCAGATTCTTTGCTATTTATAAAAATTTCAAATTGATGAAAAGACTCAAAGAACAAAATTTAACTTAAATGTAAGAATATATTTCAGTAACTCTGTTAGAAACCTAAAGTGAGAGAGAAAGCTCATCAGCCATGAGTGCATGATAACAGAAACATTTTGTGGGAAAAACATTCTGAAAAGAAAGTCATAAGGCAAGTGGGAAAAACACATATACTTATATAGGGAATATATGTTTTAGACTTAATTACAAAGAGAGCAACAAATTGATAAGAAAAGGCAAACCAATCAATAGAAAAATGGACAAATATGTGAACAGCCACGTTACAAAGGGGAAATCCAATGGCCTAACAAGCAAATGATAAGATGAAAGTGAAAACAAGACAGCGTCTTCCCCTCTTCAGAGAACAGGAAAGCAGTATAAACTCCACTTGATATAGTGTGGCTGTTTGCCTCCAAACCCCATGTTGAAATGTGATCCCCGGTCTTGGAGTTGGAGACTGGTGGGAGGTGTTTGGATCACAGAATCAGATCCCTCATGAATGGCCTGGACCATGCCCTTGGTGATAAGCCAGCTCTTGCCCAGTTCACATGATATCTGGTTGTTTAAAAGTGTGTGGCACCTCCCACCCATCACTCTCTCTCTCTTGCTCCAGCTCTGGCCATGTAAAGTGCCTGTTCCCTTTTTGCCCTCCACCATGACTGTAAGCCTCCTGAGGCCTTCCCAGAAGCTGAGTAGATGCTAGTACCATGTAGAACCATGAGCCAAGTAAACTTCTTTTCTTTATAAATTACCCAGCCTCAGGTATTTTTTTGTTACAGCAATGCAAGAATGACCTAACACAGAAAAGCAGTACCAAGGAGTACCTGAACATGTGAAAGCAACTTTGGAACTGGGTAATGGGCAGAGGTCGGAAGACTGGAGGGTTCAGAAGAAGATAGGAAGTGAGGGAATGTTTGGAACCTCTTAAGGACTGGTTAAATAGTCCCTGTGGTTATGACCAAAATACTGATAATGAAATGGACAACAAAGTCCAGGCTGAGGAGGTCTCAGATGGAAATGAAGAAATTATTGGGAACTACAGCAAACGGTCACACATTATGCCTTAGCAAAGAGCTCAGCTGCATTCTGTTCATACCCTGGGGATCTGCGGAAGTTTGAACTTGATGATTTAGGGTATCTTGTAGAAGAGATTTATAAGCAGCAAAGTATTCGAGAAGTGGCACAGCTGCTTCTAACAGTCTGCAGTCAGAGGCAGGAACAAAGAAAGCAGTTGGAACTTACATTTAAGGGGAGCAGAATGTAAAAGTTTGAAAAATTTGCAGCCTAGCTGTATGGCAAAGAAAGAAAAAGCTTTTTCAGGAGAAGAATTCAAGCAGGCTGAGGAGCAACTAGTTGCTAGAGATATTTGCATAATGTAAAAGGAGCCAAGTGCTAATACCCAAGACAGTGGAGAAAAGGCCTCAGAGGCATTTCAGAGACCTTCACGGCAGCCCCTCCCATCACAGGCCCAGAGGCCTAGTTGGACAGAATGGTTTCATGGGTCAGACCAGGGTCCTGCTACCTTGTGTGGCCTTAGGATACAACTCCCTACATCCTGGCTGCTCCAGCTTCAGCCTTGGCTCTGAAGGTCCCATATACAGCTCAGGCTGCCACTCCAGAGGGTGTAAGCCATAAGCCTTGGTGACTTTCACACGGTGTGAAGCTTGTAGGCATGTAGAATGAATGAGGTTTGGCCACCCCTGCCTAGATTTCAGAGGACATATGGAAAAGCCTGTGTGTCCAGGCAGAAGCCTGCAGCAAGGGGGATAGCCCGCGCTGAGATTTTTTACTAGGGCAGTGCCAAGGGGAAATGTGGAGTTGGAGGCTCCACACAGAGTCCTCATGGGGGCACTAGTAGAGCTGTGAGAAGGGGCCGCCACCTTCCATACTCCAGAATGATAGATATGCTAGCAGCTTGCACCTTGCACCTGGAGAAGCTGCAAGCAGACAGTAGCCACGGGGGCTGAACCCAGGAAAGCCACAGGGGCAGAGCTGCCCAAGGTGTTGGGAGTCTACCTTTTGCACTGGTGTGCCCTGGATGTGAGACATGGAGTCAAACAAGATTATTTTGGAGCTTCAAGATTTAATGGCTGTACTGCTGAGTTTTAAACTTGTGTGGAGCCTGGAGCACCTTTCTTTTGGTCAATTTCTCTGTTTTGGACTGGGAATGTTTACGCAATGTCTATAACCCACTGTATCTTTGGAATGAATAACCTGTCTTTGATTTTATAGGCTCAGAGGTGGAAGGGACTTGTCTTGACTCAGACGAGAGTTTGGACTTTTGAGTTAACACTGGAACAAGTCAAGACTTTGGGGGACTGTTGGGAAGGCATGATTGTGTTTTGCAATGAGGACATGAGATTTAGGAGGGGACAAGGGTGGACTGACATAGTTTGTATATTTGTCACCACCCAAATCTCATATTGAAATGTAATCCTCCATCTTGGAGGTGGGATGTAGAGGGAGGTGTTTGGATCATGGGGGCAGATCTCATTCATAAGCAGATCTTATGAATGGCCTGGACCATCCCCTTGGTGGTAAGTGAGCTCTCGCTCTGAGTTCACGTGAGATCTGGTCATTGAAAACTGTGCAACTCACTCTCTTGCTCCTATTCTGGCCATGTGAAGTGCCTGTTCCCCCTTTGTCTTCTGCATGACTGTAAGCTTCCTCAGGTCTCCCCAGAAGCTGAGCATATGCCAGCACTGTGCTTCCTGTAAAGCCTGCAGACCCATGAGCCAATAAATCCTCTTTGTAAAATTAATGACCCAACCTTACGTATTTCTTTATAGCAGTGCAAGAATGGCCTAACACACCATACATTGTAATATCCAGTGCTGGCAAGAATGAAGGGAAACACCCAGTTTCACACATGGTGAGTAGAAATATGCTTGGAAGGAAGTCCTAAAATTATTAAGCTAAAAACACACATATGTTGGCACAGCAAATCCACCCTGTGAATGCAAACCTATAGAAATAAAAGCACCAGTATGTAAGATTAGAGGGATAAAGAGGTTTCTTTCAGCATTGCTTGCAATTGCAGTAACAAGTAACAACAGTGACAAAAACCCAAGCAAAACCAGAATCACCATGAACACAGCAGTGATCTAAAAATTAACAGATGTTATAGAATAAAATGTGGCTAAGAGATTATGTTTGTGATCTCCTGCTCAGTGAAACAAGCGCTTTGCAAAGTGTGCTGTGCATTTGACTCTGATGTGTTTGATTTTGAACAAGCAAGAGGAGCAGGAGGAGCCTGCCAGAATGTTAGTGGTCATTACACTGGTGAGATCTGGATGTGTCGAGGAGAGTGCTCCTAAGTTTTCCTCATATATCTTTGGGTTGTTTCCTTTGTTATAATAGGCACATCTTCCTTTCCTTTTTTTTTTTTCTTGAGACAGAGTCTCACTCTGTTGCCCAGGCTGGAGTGCAGTGCGTGTGATCTTGGCTTACTGCAACCTCCACCTCCTAAGCTGGAGTAATTCTCCTGCCTCGGCCTCCTGAGTAGCTGGGATTACAGGCACCTGCCACCACACCTGGCTAAGTTTTTTGTATTTTCACCATCTTGGCCATGCTGATCTTGAACTCCTGACCTTGTGATCCACCTGCCTCAGCCTCCCAAAGTGCTGGGATCACAGGTATGAGCCACTGCGCCTGGTGATCTTTGATAATGAAGAAAAAGAATAGAGAAGATGGAACTCATGGGATAAGAAATGTGATGCTGAACGGACTTGGAGACTGTGTTACTTGGGAAAAAAAATGAAAGAACTAGAGATGTTTGGTCTAGAAAAACCAGGACACCAGGAGGAATGCTGGCTTTTACTCACTCAATGGGCTTTTGGGGTCCTAGGAAGTCAGACACATTTTTCTACTTTCCTGAGGTAGAGGCTGGAGCCATAGGTAGAAGCAACAAAGGACATTTCAGCACAGTGTGAGGAAGAAGGCACTGAGAGTCCAATTTGTCTGCATCTGGGAGGTGATGACCCCATCATCCTCTGTTCCACTCAACCCGCCTGTAAGCTGCGTTGCCTAGGCTCAGTCCCTCAGCGGTACCTTGGGCAATGTCGTCCTGCCTCTGCAGGCAGGGCCGCTCCACCTTGTGTCCAGGCTGTGGCTCTCGCTCTGGCTGCTTGGGACCCCTCCCTTCGTTGAACACATGCGGCAGATTGGCTGTGTGCACCTGGCGGAGCTGCTCATAGTCGCTCAGAGCGGCTGTCAAGTCCCAGTTTTTGCCTGTGGACAAGAAACGACAGGTGACAATATGAATGCATGAATAATGGTCTACTCATAGAGAAGAACCGTGACAAAAAGGGCTTCTCATTAGGACATAAACTAATGAATTTTCTACCAGTAGTTCTCATTTTTCAAAGGGGAAAAATGGCCTTCTGCATGATCTCTGAAAGTAGAATTTCACACCCGTAAGTGATGTCCATCTGAAATATGTGACTATGTAGTCTCAGAGCCTTTAGGTTTTAACACACACACACACACACACACACACACACACACACACACCCCTAAATATTGCATTCCTTATTACCATAACCCCCTTTGGTTTCTTTTTTTTTTTTTTTTTTTGAGACGGAGTTTTGCTCTTGTTACCCAGGCTGGAGTGCAATGGCGCGATCTCGGCTCACCGCAACCTCCACCCCCTGGGTTCAGGCAATTCTCCTGCCTCAGCCTCCTGAGTAGCTGGGATTACAGGCATGCGCCACCATGCCCAGCTAATTTTTTTTTGTATTTTTAGTAGAGACAGGGTTTCACCATGTTGACCAGGATGGTCGATCTCTTGACCTCATGATTCACCCGCCTCGGCCTTAAGTGCTGGGATTACAGGCTTGAGCCACCGCGCCTGGCCCCATATCCCTCCTTGAAAATCAAGTTGTAGAGCTTACTCTCTGAGGGGAACAAAGCATTGATTAAAGAAAAATGAATTGAAATAATTCTCAAAGTCTCTTTGGACTTTTGCTCAGAGTTTTACTTTTTATTTTAAGTTTAACATGAGAGAAGCAGATGCTTGGGAGGGATTCTCGTTAGCGGTTTTGGTGGGAGGTAGGCTTTCGAGCTCAGGCTCTGCAGCAGGTATGATGCCAGGCTGGGCAGGTGTGCCCAGTGTGGGTATGCAGTCAGCAGGGCTCTCACCCCGACACTGGGTGCTGGGCTGGCATTTCACAGCACAAGGTGCAGATACACTAGGGAGTTGGAGGCAGCATGGGCACTCTGATTCCTGACTCGGAGAGTCGGTGGGCTTTTAACAGCAGGAATGAGTGTCACACACTGCATCCGATTCACTTAGGCATCATTCTGTAGCACGACTGGGCTACTATAGTTAACAATAATTTATTGCATATTTCAAAATAACTAGAAGCATAGGTTTGGAATGTTCCCAACATAAAGAAATGATACATGTTTGAGTTGATGGATGTCCCAATGAGCCATATTTGATCATTATACACTGTGTGTTTGTATCAAAATATCACATCTGCCCCATCAATATGTACAACTATGATGTATCCATAGAATTAAAAATTAAAAGCATTTAAAAAGAAATCGAATAATTAAAAACGTAGCCTTAATTTTAAGGAGCAAATAAAAACAAGCTCCTCTCTCATCTTTTCCATTTGAAGTTACTGGGAACTCCAACAGATGTGACACCAAGTAAGGATGAGAAGAAAAGGCGCAGAGGCCCATGACGAAACCTGAGGCTGGAGGACTGGGGCAGCCACAGGCTACATGTCCCTGATGCCAGGATACTCAGAAAAACAGTCAAGAACACAGGTTCTAGAGTTTGGTTTTGAGCCTTTCTAACGAATTCTCTGATGGCAAATGTATCATTTCATGACACAAGGCCTTATATTCCTTCCTGAACAATCAGGATAACACAATTCGTCTAATGAGAATTCTTCAGAGGGTTAAATGAGAAAAGGAGATAGTGTTTGCAAAGCTCGTCCTTTATGGGAAGCACTTAATTCATGGTAGTTACCATTCTTCTCATTGGTTATAGGGTTTTGATTTATGTTTATCTTCTGGCACTCAGAGTTAAACTCTGAGTAAGTGATGGATAGTAAGCGATGGAGCTGAGATTCAAATACAGATCTGCCTTGATTCAAATCTAAGCTTTTGGTGTCACTGTTCCCTCGAACCTGACCCAGCTCGGGCATGACAGCTCCTGGTTGCTGACACACCTCCTGTTCTACCTTGCCCACCCACCATGACCCTCCATAACCAGGGCTTGCCCTCTTCACCTGGATCCCCACTCTCCATCTCCACCTTGCCAGTGCCTGCAACTGCTGGGTTCTACTCTGTTCTCTACACACTTACCTATACTCTGTGAGGTTCGCATTAAACTGTCACTAATGTCATCTCCCAAACACACTAAGGCCATAAAGTCCATGGGAGGGCACTAGAGACCTGACTCTAACATGGACGTTTTCACAGCTCCTCTTCTCCTGTATCCTGGGATACTCTACGGTCCCTTCACGGGTTCCTTTGCCTCTTCCCGCCCTTAAAACACATGGATTCCCCCTATTTTTGTTCTTGTTCTTCTTTTCTCTTAATTTATACCCTCCTCTGAAGATTAAGTCCATCTCTAAGAGAATAAGCTTAATCCTAGTTACAATTTATATCCTAAGTTTTAAAGCCAAATATTTGACTATGGCAGATATTAGCTGACTATCCACTTTCTGTTCTCCTCATCTAATTCAATACGCTCAGAATTCTAATTTATTTTGAATAGCAATACACACAGCTAAAATATTCATTTTTTCCTTCAGATCTTCAAAATATGGTCCTGTTGTTCTATCTTTCTGTATTTGCTTACTCTGTTCCTTCTTCCAGAAGTAGTTCCTCCAAGCAGCAAGACAGTACAGCCGTGTGGAAGAAGACCTTAACCAAAAGAACTCAAAGATCGAGGAAGTTGCCTGTGAGGTTTTTCTTCCAGGATGCCTGCATTTCTGATGATCACGGAACACCGAGTTATTGGATTACTGGCAGGCATGGGTTTCACGGTAAGAACCACAACCTCTGGCGCCGTTTACTGCTGTGATGTGACGTGCTGCTTAATTTAGGACAAAAGTACCACAGTGCTGAAGAAAGACCATAAACCTGACGTCCCGGAAGATGTGAAACGGAAACTGACTAACCTGAGGAAAAAGGACTCAAACTGTTTTAGAAATGAAGTTAAATTATAAGGAAAGGAAAAGACGGTACAGATAGCATAGTAAGAATGATAAAAAATGAAATAGACAAAATAAAGCAGAAATAAAGAAACAGAGGGTTGAATAGAAATGTTAGATATAGAATATAGGTAAAGGAAATCCAATATACTCATAATTGGAGCCCCAAATAAGAAATAAAAAATAACGGAAGAGGAAAACAAATTTTAAAAACTTTAATTAAAAAAGCAAACTTCTTGAAATACTTGATTTTACATATTTAAAGTGCATACTGTATATAAGGAAACTGTTCTAGTATAGTCAATACCAACGTATATCCTTTTAAAATTATCATCTTTTAAATATAACAAGAATTTTTAAAATCTGTAAGCCCAAAAGAGAGAAAATCAGGTTTACAACATACTTCTCAGCAGCAACATTCAATGCCAAAAAGACAATAGCGCCACATCTACAAGATACTGAAGGAAAGAAAGGAATACGAGCTAAGAACAGTTTATGCCCATCCAGGCTACTCTTTTCTGTATAAAGGCTGCAGACAAACCATTTTAAACATGAATAGTTCAGAAAACGTTTCTCAAATGAACACTCTTTGAGAAAACTATGAGAGGATGAACTCCAGCCAATCAAGAGATGGATAAGAGTTTGGCAAAGGAGAGGTCAGGCAGCAGTAAGTTTACTTAACTGCACATCTAAGGAAAAGTAGACAGAGACACAAGTGATGAGGAAGAATAGCAATATTCTCTCAAAACGAAAATGACACAATCAACAAAAATGGTAGAATTTAGAAAGCAGAATAAATGTGCAATGCCCCAGCTGTAATACATGAGAGTGCAAAAATAATGTTTAAAGTTGACAAGTCAGGCCAGGTGCAGTGGTTCACACCTGTAATCACAGTACTTTGGGAGGCCAAAGCAGTCAGATCACTTGAGGTCAGGAGTTTGAGACAAGGCTGGCCAACATGGCAAAACCTGGTCTCTACTAAAAATATAAAAATTAGCTAGGCATAGTGGCACACACCTGTAGTCCCAGCTGCTCAGGAGGCTGAGACACAAGAATTTCTTGGTCATGAGAGGTGGACATTGCCGTGAGCTGAGATTGCACCATTGCATTCCAGCCTGGGCGACAGAGTGAGACTGTGTCTCAAAAACAACAACAAAACAAAACAAAACTACAGTTGACGGGTCAAATATGTATATGTAAGCATATTTAATATTAGAAGAGCAAACACTAAGAACAGACAGAAGATATAATATTGGTTAAATTAGATGGTGGAAGAGGGGAGGATCAAGGGAGAAGGTAGAAGCTTGTTTTATTGAGGCGTATGGAGAATAAACCGATATTGTCTGAAGGAAAAGGGACACAGGGTATTAATAAAGGTAAACTTATATAACCACTAGTTCCACTGGAACTTACACCCTCGGCTCTTCTGCTTTGCCAGCATGCTGACTGCAGGTTGTGAGACTTCTCAGCCTCCACGACCTCATGGGTCAATTCCTTATTATAGGTCCATCTCTCTCCCCGGCTCTCTCTGTAATATACATGTACATGCTTACACACAGACACTAGCATGTATGGAAACGTGTGCATATTACACATATCCATATGTGTAATGTGCCACTTAACAATGGAAATACCTGCTGAGAAATGTATCAATAGGCGATTTCATTATTGCACGAGCATCACAGAGTGCCCTTACACCAACCTAGATGGCAGAGCCCACTACACCCCCAGGCTCTGTGGTACAGCACACTGCTCCTAGGCTACAAAACTGCACAGCATGTGACTGTGCTGAATACTGTAGGCAACGGGAACACAGTGGTGAGTGTTTGTGCATCTAAACATGTTTAAGAATGAAAAAAAGTACGGTAAAAATATGGTATAATAAATGGTACACCTGCAGAGGGCACTTACCATGAACGGAGCTGGCGGGACTGGGAGTTACTCTGGGCAAGTGAGTGGTGAGTGGTGAGTGAATGTGAAGGCTGGGTCACTACTGTACACTACTGCGGGCTTTAGAAACACTGTACCCTTAGGCTATGCTAATTAATTCATGTTTTC